CAATGGGGAAGAATTGTCGTTGTCTAGTGAAGATCAGCCATAGGAAAGCTACTTTGCGAACCGCCGATCAGCTGTATAAATAGCTGTCTTGCAAAGCTTAGGTCCCGAAAACACCCATTTTGCGAGCACGGAGGGAGCTGTCAAAATCGTCGTCTAGAGAAAATTGGTTTGCGAAGCAGGGACCAAACATTGTCCAGCGAAATTCCCCCATAGGAATCACTGTTTTGCGAATCGCTATAGTGATCGCAAAAAGTCAATGTCTAGTGAAAAAACTGTCATGGGGGTAACTGCCTAGCGAGGCACCACTGTACATAACATGGTCTCTAGTGGCCAGTTCTGGTAGCTTCATCTTTAGAGACAGATATTTGGGAGGGGGGGGGTCTTTGAATATTTTTAATATTTTCACGCTGTGGATAACTGAATCAGCAGATACAGACCAGTGGATAAGGGGGGCTATTGTAGATATTACCAGTAGATGATGAAGGATCCTCCACTTCTACGGACATGTTAGTCACAATCCTCCAGTTTTGTGGCTTCGCAAACATGGTGAGCACACACAGATATATCCCGGTGTCAGAGGGGATGACATCAACAATTGTAAGCTCATGATTTTGGTGTCGTCCTTCTGAGTCTATGATTTTTGAATCACTGAGTGTTCTGTTTTCCATATTGGCATCAACACAGCAGTTTATGTTATAGGAAAAGCTACGAATATCGTGATGGTCTTCATTTGAAACTGAATGTAGGCAAGTAGTCTGGTCCGTTTCTTTGAGCCAGTAAACAGCAAAGTTTGCTACGTTTTCCTGCAGTTGAAATTCACAGGGGAGACTGAAATTTTTTCCTTTGACCTGCAGACGTTTCTGTTCTGTAACGCAAAATAGATCCGTCATGCAAGGTGGCAAATGTAACCAACGCACTGCCTTTTGCTACGAACTAGGCGCATGCGAAGTTGTACCTCTGACTTTTATGATTATGTATACCTCCTTGAAAAATAACATCACAAATTCCAGGTTGCTTATTCTCAAATACAAATATGCAATTTTCACAAGGGTGAGAAACTTCTAAATTGCTACTTACGAATATTCGCATGGAACCTTAGGTTAATTCACATCTTCTTTGTGTAAAGACCTAAACAATTGACACCTGGGAGAAAAGTCTAACTGAAAGGCCTAGTTATGCCCAGGCTTCCTGCTCCTGCCCCAATACTAGCTGGGAGCTTCTTCTTTTTTCTAGCAGGACGTGTGATCATTGCTAGACCTAGCTAAGCCTCAACGCCTTCCATTTTCTCCCAGATGCATCACATTTAAGTGTTTGCAAGGTGTCTGTAAAATAAGTGGGACTGCGAGAATGGAGAAATGTGGTATTTTTAACCCAGAAAATCCCAAAATCTCAACCCTCCTGTTCTTCATAGAATCATAGACCCCTAGAATCATGGAGTTGGGAGGGTGCAACAAGGCCATCCAGTCCAACCCCCTTCTCAAGGCAGGAATCCAAATCAAAGCAGATCTGACAGAGGGCTGTCCAATTTCTCTTGAAGGCCTCCAGTGTTGAAGGGCTCACCACCTGCCAAGATAAATGGTTCCATTGTCATACTGCTCTAACAGTTAAGATGTTTTTCCTGATGTTCAGCCAAAATCAAGCTTCCTGTTTATATCATGTGGTGACCCTGTCTCTAGACTTTGCCATTCAGCTTCTGCTTAAGCCCTGCGCCCTCTCCAAATAGCATTTCCACATGCAACCAATGCTCACAGCCCAGACTTAGAGATGCGCACAAACCACCCGTTTGAGGGTTCCTGCCAGGTTGTTTATCATCTGAACACATGTTTAGCACTTCCTTTCTCCCAGATGCCTGGAGGAGGTGGGACAGGGAAGCCAGGACATTGCCTCTGAGTGGAGGACCACTGGTGGAGGCAGTGCTAGGAAGCACCGGACACCCGTTCGGCCAATAAATGAATCGGCACAAACCTCCAACCTGGCAGTTCATGCCTGTCTCTACTCGGAACAGAAAAAGCACCCTCCCCGTGAGAAGACCGGCTGGCCTATTTCCTGACTCACATCACTGGCTCCTAGGTTTCCATCTCAAACTAAGTTTTGTTCGGAGTTTTTAAAAGGTCCTCTCACCGGTTCGGTTCATTTTTGCTAGAATGAAGAAATCAAATTCCCTGCAGTCCTCCTTGTTAGTAAATATCGGGGGCCCAGACGTCTTGTTTTTTTCATGGGATTTGCACGCAACAATTTGACCGTGAGGAAAAGCAGAATTGAGTTCCTTTCCTTCGGTATAGCATGGGTCACCTCCCTGCTGCTCTGTTGGACACGTTGAAACGGCACCCTTAGACATTTTGAATTTCTGCGTAGAGTGATCTCCAAACCACCAGGCTGTCCCGCCTGGATGGCTTGATGCCTTGCAGATCAGCGTCTGGTTTTTGGCTTCATAATTAAGAAAGAAAGTGGCACCTAGAAGAGGAAGAAAAATATGGGGTAGTAACCAATCTATCGTTTTTGAGAAAGAAGCAGGTTTTTTGAAACGACAGAAACGTTTGTCCTATATCATTTAGTTAGTACATTCACTCAGAGCCCAAATAATTTCATCTTTGCAGCCTTCGTAAATTTTTTGTTAGCTTTTGATCTCATAGATCAAGAGCACTTATGGCACACAAATCAGCTGATTGGCAACCACAAGATCTCATTGTTGCTCTACGCTGATGACTTGGTTTTGCTCTCCCTGGGCAAAACTGACTTTAAAAGAATGCTAACTGAATTTTGGCAGCTTTGTGAAGATGAATGATGAACCACCAGTTATTAAAAAACCAAGATTATAGTCTTTGAGGAGAGAGCCCCTAAGTAGAATTCGTCACTTGAGGATGGAGGAAGAGCAGGAGGAAAGGGAGATGCTAGAGTGAAAGCTGCCTTCACAGTATGGTGCCTTCACAATATGGTGCCAAAAGAATGAGGACAATCCTACCCATGACAAGGAAGAGATCTGGCAATGGAGGATGCTGGATTTTATCTCAGGGGATCAGGAACTGGCAATGCCCTTCCTCTCGGAGGGTACTGGGGCCCCAGCAGTTTCTCAATAACACAATATGCATCCTGCTGAAAGACCTCACAGACCAAAACGGAAGCCCAAAGATCTAGAACCTATCAAACCAAAGCAGAAAGCCGATGATCCAGATAGCAGAAGCCAGGGAGATTTCTTTACCGGACACGTACCTGCAATTCCTCTTATGAAAACAAGCAACATTACGGCAATCTTCATCTTGGGTAGAAAAAAATAGATGTTGTTCTTTTTTTCCCCCTCTCTTGGCTTAAATGAGAGAGCAAAGCGGAAGTGGAGATAAAACATGAGGTCAGAACAGGAAACTGTTTTCATCCGCCATGTCAAATGTAGCAGCAACGCCCTTGGCAACCACCCTGCTTATGGGGTTGTGCAAAATATTCCAGTGCACAACACCGCCCTTGTTGGGGTGTGGTAGAAGCCAGGATTGCTGAAACCCTTCGTGTGAAACTGTGTTGAATGCACAGTTCTGATGCATCTGACTTCCCACAAATGTCTCCATCGAGCCCCAATGGTCTAGGACAGGGTTAGTCAACTGGAGGTTCTCCAGAAGTTCTGGAATCCTCAGTGACCATCAGTTATGCTGATGGGAGCTAATGGGAGCTGCCGTCCAACCGTATCATGTAGCAGGGCCCAAGATGGTCCTGCTGGTGAACTAAAACCACCATTCCAGGACTGGAGATAGCATTCCACACTGAAGTTCCATCTCTAAAAGTGGTTCTATTTATATTTTTCCCCAGGTGGCACAAACAGCCCACTTTCACTAGGGTGGGATATAAATACTGTATAACCAATAAATAATGATCAGTGCATCTCGTCCTTTCTATAGAAATGGGGAAGAAGCCGCAGGAAGAGAAGGGATGGGTTACTGACATAGTCAAAGCTTTGTCATCCAAGCGAAAACCTTTCTAAGCTCTGCACATGAAAAGGAACACAATGCAGAACTTAGAAAAGTGCAGGAAATTCAGCAGTAGAAGGTTGGTTGGTTGGTTGGTTGGTTGGTTGGTTGGTTGGTTGGTTGGTTGGTTGGTTGGTTGGTTGGTTGGTTGGTTGGTTGGTTGGTTGGTTGGTTGGTTGGTTGGTTGGTTGGTTGGTTGGTTGGTTGGTTGGTTGGTTGGTTGGTTGGTTGGTTGGTTGGTTGGTTGGTTGGTTGGTTGGTTGGTTGGTTGGTTGGTTGGTTGGTTGGTTGGTTGGTTGGTTGGTTGGTTGGTTGGTTGGTTGGTTGGTTGGTTGGTTGGTTGGTTGGTTGGTTGGTTGGTTGGTTGGTTGGTTGGTTGGTTGGTTGGTTGGTTGGTTGGTTGGTTGGTTGGTTGGTTGGTTGGTTGGTTGGTTGGTTGGTTGGTTGGTTGGTTGGTTGGTTGGTTGGTTGGTTGGTTGGTTGGTTGGTTGGTTGGTTGGTTGGTTGGTTGGTTGGTTGGTTGGTTGGTTGGTTGGTTGGTTGGTTGGTTGGTTGGTTGGTTGGTTGGTTGGTTGGTTGGTTGGTTGGTTGGTTGGTTGGTTGGTTGGTTGGTTGGTTGGTTGGTTGGTTGGTTGGTTGGTTGGTTGGTTGGTTGGTTGGTTGGTTGGTTGGTTGGTTGGTTGGTTGGTTGGTTGGTTGGTTGGTTGGTTGGTTGGTTGGTTGGTTGGTTCTGGATAGATCTGGGGTTCAGGCATCTGGCCATGGAGCCAGAGGTTGGGAGTTCAATTCCCCGCTGTGCCACCTAGACAGGAGCTAAGATTCTGAGATTAGGATATTAGGAAATAATCAGTTTCACACTCCGTAAGGTCCACAAACATTACTGAAAATTGCAACCAGGCTGTAGACCATGAAAGTTTGTGTCAAATTCAAGGTGAGGGTTTTAATTTGCCACAAAACTCTTGGTATAATTTTTTTTAAAAAAAGCTCCTCTCCTGTAAATAATTTTTAATCTGCAAATTGTAAATTGCATATTTTCTGCATGTTACCACGTTGACCGACCACTAGATGGCAAAGAAGCATTTCCTTTGCGGGTCTGACCCTTCCTTAAAATCGAAGCAAGAGAATGAACAGGAGAGCCTGACATATATACAGTATTAGAATTCAGGCCAGGTGAGGTTAACTCTGCTAGCTGTGCATGGAAAGGCATCCATGTGACTCTTGGCTCAGCCTACATGACCTGTGAGCTAGAATATCCAACGGGCTGGATCATCACGTTCAGGGCAATAAACTGAATCGAATAACGTTCTCGGCTCTGATCGTTTACATATTTCCCAACTCGCTTTGTTTGTTCCTTCATTTATTCAGGCCAGGTGAGGTTAACTCTGCTAGCTGTGCATGGAAAGGCATCCATGTGACTCTTGGCTCAGCCTACATGACCTGTGAGCTAGAATATCCAACGGGCTGGATCATCACGTTCAGGGCAATAAACTGAATCGAATAACGTTCTCGGCTCTGATCGTTTACATATTTCCCAACTCGCTTTGTTTGTTCCTTCATTTTAACTTTATTTCTTTTCTTCTTTTTTTAAACAATAACAATGGCTTGCAAAGTGTGTAAAAATTTGCATTTTTCCATTCCCAAGTGATACGAGCCGGTGTGGTTATTTCCATAATGTTCCACGATGCCATGAAAGGGGAAAAATACATACAGGGGCCGGGAGAGAAAAGTCAAGGACAAGAGGTTGTGGCGTCTTAAGGACTAGCAGCTTTGCTTCAAAGTGGGAGCTTTGAAGGATCAAAGTTCACTTCTTCTTCTTCTTCTTCTTCTTTTACCATTTTATCTGCCTTTAATTTATCCCACAGGGGGAAACAGAGTAAAAGAACGACTCTTTGGAATTGTGTAAGGTTCACCATTACTGCTCTCCCTGCTAGCCACGTTGGCCCTTTTTCCTCTCGGGGCAAGGACTCAGAGGTGCAGACATACGAACCTCAATGCATTTGCCTCGGGCTGCTGTGCCGGCTTGGGGGGGGGCATCTCACGTCTCTGCGGAAGAGGAGATTCATAGCATCCTAGAATCGTGGTGCTTGAAGGGACCTCGAAGGCCATCAAGTCCACTCCTCTGCTCAAGGCAGGAACCCAAGTCAAACAGAATCACAAGCAGACGAAAGGTGTGGTGCCGTCACTGTGTGCCTCGCAGGGGCGTGTGGGGCCAGGTGTGGTTCCTCTTTTTTTTTTAATGGTTCCCCAAAATCGAGGCCCACAGAGGAGCTGTTGTCTCATGCAAAACAGGGACCGGCTTTATGGAAAAACAGATTTTCCATCGCAAAGAGGGAGGAGAAATTCTGCCAAGGGGGTGCTCAGTGATCGGACGAAGGAGGGCTGATGCAGGCTTTATGGACTTCCCCAGTCCTCCCTGTAACATAATGCAGGTGGGGGAATTGATCCACACCACCCTGATCCTTCCCCCCCATGCCAGTCTACCTCCCCAGTTTAGGGGTGGGCTGTAAAACAGAACAAAGGTCTCAGCAGCTCTTGTCTCCCCCCGCTTTTCTCCCCCCCCCCCCCCCGCAGGCTTCATATACCATATTACTACCTGCATAATAAGGGGCTTGCCTTAGACCTGGCGTTCTATCGCTGTAGCTACACCTATAACTCTTTTGACTGGAAACTCATGGGCTTAGGGCACCAGGGCTACGAGTTTGATTCCCCACTGTGCCTTCAGGGAGAAGAGCCGCTTGTTCGCCTTTCTGACATCATGAGTAATATTGACAATAACAATAATCAACTGGTAGTGTCTCCCTGATGAGGACAGAAGAGAGGGCTTTCTCGGTGCCTGCTCCTTTAGACTCTGGAACTCCCTCCCACTGGCTGGCCTCATCTTGGGTGTCCTTCCACAAGCAGGCAAAGTCCCTTTTTCTCTTCAGGCAAGCTTTACCTGTGTGTGATTTTTAGATGGACTGTTGTCCCTTCCTGCTTTGAACGTGTTTTTACTACTGCTTGGGTTTTTACCATTTTACAATGTGGTCTTTTGCTGGTTGCTTTTAAGGATTTGCATACTTATTGCATCAGCTTTAATATTGCCTTTTGCTAGCCAAAGCTGCCTCTGTACACTCATTGTTCTTCACTTTAAATATTGTCTTTTAACGACGTAAACCACCATGGTGTACTCATTGTTTTCAGCTGTAAATACTGGCTTTCCATGTATTTGTGCCCTCCTTGAGGATAAAAATATTTAAAATAAATAAATCATAAATAAATTAATATCACCAACTCTACAAAGCAGAAAGCGTCGTTAGTCTTTCAACAGAGAAGCGTGTAAGCAAATGAGACATCGTGAAGGCAACAGGAACAACACGCCTCTGTCTGTTCTCTCTCGCTCCCTCTCTTGCTCCCTCTTTTAACTTCCACCTCCCTTCAACTATTTCCATCCTGGAGTGAAAGCAGGATGGGGAATACAGCCACCGGCTCTTCTGAAGGAAGGATCCTGAGTTAGAGACCAGACAGAAGCCTGCAGAGATGCTGAGAGACCTGGTCCTCAGGTGGTTCCTGGAAAGCCAAGCTCCTCTTCTTTTGACGGACGGCCGCCTGCCAGACTGGTTCCATGGATTCCTTACGAGGAAGTAAGCTCCATCTGCACTCCCCAGTAGAAGGATAAAAGCCAAGAAAGGAGTCTTTCGCCCTCATGGCTTCTGCGCTCTGAAACAGGTGCTTCCCAATAAGTGGGTGGCCTCCAGCTTCGGAGGAGACAGGTAGAGGAGATTTGTAAACAGGGAAAAAATATCCACATTATGGTAGTGGTAGGATTCGTGGGACAAAGAACTTTGGGGAACTACGACACTCAGAATCCTCCACTGGATTTCTACGGGAGGTGTAGTCCAAGCTACAACTTGCGTACGTTGTGGTGCGATGTGCATGGGAGCAGAAGCTGGGGCTCTCCAGGTGATATGTGTCTGCAACCACACCCATCATCCATGCTCCCCAATTGTGATAAGGTGGATGAGATTTGGAGTACCACAATATCTGAAGGTGCAGCTGTTCCGCACACCCTGGTGTGGCATTTAAGAATGAAACCAATGCTTCCATGCATTTGCAGCCACAAAATTCATTTCAAACCTGGCCACTTTTGGTCTCTCTTCCTAACTATACCTGCTTTGTAGGTTGAAGTACCTGCCTGCAGAGTCAGAGGGTGGAAGTTCAATCCCCCAGTTGTGCCTCTTTGAGAGGGACTCCATGATCCATGGGTCTCCTTTCCAGCTCTGCCCTTCTTAGATTATTCTTGTCAAGACAGGAGGGGGGGGGGGTGGAGGAAGAAATCCATGTATATACTTTGCCCAGGCTGCTTGCAAGACGACTAAAATAGAAATAACTCAACCAGTAGAAGCAGCAGTAATCATGAAACGATCCATGATTTAGGCCTGACTGGCTGTGGAGTCAGAGTTTGTGCCTCCTGGGGGAAGATCCAGCCTGGGTAGCCTTGGGCAAGCTGCAGAGTCCCATGATATGAACCAGAAGAAGCGAAGGGTGGTCCACTTCTGAGTGCTCTCTGTTTGGAAAACTCACAATTGACTTGACAGCAAGCATTATGGATAGACTAGGAAAATAGATCCCTTGGTTTATTTCAGTTTTCTCTCCTGGCATCTTCAGAAGAACAGCGAGGTTCTTTAGGAAATGAGTTAGTTTCGTTTGGCACCTGGCTGTCTCTGAGATGTAGTCATTATGACAGGACGGATTCTCCTTTCTTCTTCTTCTTTTTTTTATTAAACAGGCAGACCGAGGAGCTGCTGAAAGATAAAGGCTTTGGCTGCTTTCTAATCCGATTAAACGAGCGGTCGTTTGGCTACATTCTCTCCTACCAGTAAGGCTTTGGATTTTAACCCTGTCCTTCTGATGCAGAAAAGATCACCGCTTCTTCTTCGTGGTCTTCCCCCTCCTTTGGGGACTGCCCAAAATGCAAGATACGTTGAGCAGGAAAAGAGAGGAGATTATCTGTCCCTCATCACTCCAAGGGTTGTATAATAGTCAGAAGGGGCTTTCCCAGAGAATGTGAGACTCTGCTTTATAGCTGAAAAAGACTGTTCATCTAACCCAGTGTTTCCAGCTCTGGCTGGCAGCAACGTTTAGGATCTGAGACTGGAGGCTTTACTCATCCCTTGCTCCCTCGATTAAACCTTCTCTCAAGTCCTCCATACCATAGTCTCTCGAGACTGAAGGATGCCTAATCTGATCCCCCGAGAGAGTTTGAATGGACCCCCTTTATGGGGCAAAAAAATGCCAGACAATTAAAGGAACCGCCATGAGGCTCTGGGTCAAAAAGAGGTCACAATTTAAATCATGCTTCAAACAAATCAAGCTGATGAGCAGCCTGGTGGTGGTGGTTTTAATGAAGATACAGAGAAGTGCTGAAACCAAGCCCTTTGGCATTTTCCCCCCAGTGCTATCTCCCCAACCCATCAGATCTTCCTAGGCTAGGCTGTTCCATGCAGTCACCCCAAAGGAGTCCTGAAAGTCTTCTACAAGATGGGGCCTTCTCCGTGGTGGCACCAATCTTATGGAACCAGCTCTCAGAGCAGCTCCTCCTGGCTTCCTCCCTGTTGTTGTTTAGAAGACAACTCAAAACATGCCTTTTCAGGGGGGGCTTTCATGCCAATCCTGGTTGACAGTCTGTTTACCTCCCGGTAAACTACCTTTGGCGATGCACTTCATATTTTCAGCTCTCTCTTTATTGCTCATGTCATAGGTGTTTTAACTTGTTAAACCGCCCAGAATAGTTCTTTTGTATTAAGGGGATGGTATATAAATTTTAAGGAGAGAAATAATCAAAACAATGACCAGGTGGAACGCATCCAGCCAAACTTGGACTACAGCATCCAGAATCCACGGCCAATGTGACGTTCCCAGCTGGCCAGTTCTGGGGCTTGTGGTCTCCATGGTTATGTGAGGCCTCCAGACTTTTTCCAGCTGAGGGAAGAGGGAAATAATGCTGAATCTGGCCCATTGTTTCCTGCACCACAAATGACATGTGAGATGAAGTTGTGGGGAGGAAGTGGCTCATTAATTACGTAAAGACTGCCTTTTTTGTAGTCTTGTGTTCAGTGTGGATGATTAGTGGTCAGATGCAAAAGCAGGGGAAAAGATTTATGATCTATCCGCTTCCTGATGATGGCTTCTGTCTTTTGTCCCTTTCCACGACTCTGACACAACACCTCCGACTTCCACTCGCCTTTGGTGGCTTGCCATGAACATTGGCTGCTTCTCGTCCAAAAGGTTTGTACGGCGCGATCGCCTCCTTCCTTTGCTCTCTTGATCAGAAGGACGTCCGAGGGATTCGGTTTTTAGGAAACCATTTGGGTTTTCTTTTTTGCTGTCGAAGGAGGAGTCAACAGACCAAGGGAAACCCAAGGAAAAGTGGATTAAACCCCTTCTGTTTAGTTATTGATGAACATTTCTCACCGACTGCTTCTGAGGATCGGGTTGGCATTTGAGAAATTAAAAGTGGTCCCTTAGGCTTTGTGTGAGCGTTTTGGTCATCATATCTCAAACAGAATATCATCGGCCAAGAAAATTTGCAAATAAAGGCACTGAAAATGGCCAACGATGAGATACAGCTAATCTAAAAGGGGGAGAATTTGAGTCTCTTTTATTTCCTCCTTTCAAAAAAAAAAAAGGTGGGGCAAGTAAGGAAAGATACGGGTTGGATAAAATTATTTATAGCGTGTTTTAAAAAGGGAGAAAAGTATTATCTTCATATTTGAAGAGAAGTGGAATGAGTCTCTTTTATTTCCTCCTTTCAAAAAAAAAAAAGGTGGGGCAAGTAAGGAAAGATACGGGTTGGAAAAAATTATTCATAGCATGTTTAAAAAAGGGAGAAAAGTATTATCTTCATATTTGAAGAGAAGTGGAAGATTCAGGGACAAATAAAAGCAAGTACTTTCACACACAATACATATATAACTGCTAAATTTCTTCCCACAAAAAAGTGGGATCCTAACATTTTGTTACAGAGCAATTTCTTAGGGTACATGTGATTTATTGGGAATGTGTAATAGACCAGATGTGGAT